ATAGCAGTAGAATAAGATCTAATAGGAAGTGGTGAGACTGTTCATCCGCAGGTAGAAGCCCAGCATCACTGGCACCTGTTCCTATTGTAGGCAATCCATAGCCAACGTAGATTTGAGCTCAGTATACTCCAGAGGTAGCTAGAGCGTTGAGGCTCTCATTACAGGTACAGAGTTGATTATCTGACATATCAGACTTGGCAGGAGTAGCGTTCCAAGCCTTCACACAAGAAAGCAAGGACATTATGGCTGTACACCTAGAGACAGGAGCAGCAGCAACTTGTCTTGAATGCCCGGCCTACGCGAATGAGCAGAGAAAGAAGAGAAGCGCATCAAGCAACTTGTGGGAATTGCAAAAAGCGCAGGACAAGTCAGGCCAAACAGAAGCTAAGTCCAGGACTATGTGCACCACCAAGTCCAGGAGGAAGAGCTTTTGCAGGATTTTACCAACAAGAATTGTAAGGATTCCAAGACAATTGCTCCTTCCAAACTCCAACGATCGAGACCGCTGGAACCTTCCACACCGCATTGATGCCCACACCAAAGCAAAACGTTCGAGTCACTGACGGACAAGGAAGACAATTGTTGGTTCCAACACCCGACAGCAAACTATACTGCCCACAAGTTGCCCTAACAATGCTAGCATGCATGAGTGCTGCCAAAGAAGCACTCAACATCAAAGAAGAAAGTGACAACAAAACTGTTGGAGGCCAATTTCTGGCTGTATGGCTCTCCTACTGGGATGCCTCTAGTCTAAAAAAATAAAAGGACTTTTATTTGAATGTTAATTCCAGTATCTAATTGTTGTTACCTGGATTGAATGGGCATTGCAGCTCATGCAATCCAGTGGCTACTTCTATTTACCTATTTACTAGTTTTTCATGCGCGGGACCAAGCAACTCTGGTCTGGCAATCCCACCAGCAAAACCGCGAACGCGGTCTGCCCATGTCACCGTTGGTCTGGCCATTTTGGTCATATTCTCGCCGTCCGTACGTTGTCCGCCAGCTCCAAAAATACTACTTCCAACTCGCTCCTGAGATGTCGGGCAAGTAAAGGAGGGATCTTCCACGGGCGGTACTGGAGTCATGCCCATTACCATGTCGCAGAAGCGCTTGTACAAGCTGCCTTGTTGTGGCTTGGAGTAAAAGTCTGCCACTATGTCCGCCGTGGGACAATAGAGCAGGTGGATGTCGCCTCTCTTAATGCGATCCTTAATAAAGAAGAATCTGAGATGGATGTGTCGTGACCTTTTACTTGCAGACTGTCTACCATTCTTTTCCAAACGTATCGCACTTACATTATCTTGATAACAGTATCTCCTGCGCGTATGTATGCCCTGGTGTTTCAGGAAGTTCATAGTCCAGATAGTTTGTCCAAGACAGTCACTGGCGCCGACGGTTTCCGACTCCGTCATACTCGTTGTATTAAGCTTCTGCCATGTAACAGCACACACGACTAACAATAGGACATTTAATACCGCGTTAAGGTCGTGGTAACAATCCTTTTACTAAGGTAATGTACGCATCTTCTGTGGGATACGCCATTCTGATCAGAGCTTCTTCCAGAGAGAAAGAAAGTAGAGAAGGTCGCGACATCGACTCCAGAGCCGCAGGACAACAGGTGCAGAACGACTTGGTCTTATATTTGTCACACAACAGGTCCACGGCTGCTTAGTCAACAGGTCAACACCCCCTTTCCAATTTGATGGATCTCACAACCTCTTGCCTGGCCAGCAAACTGTAACCTATCATGAAGCATCATTGCTTTACAGCTCTCCTTCATAGGGGTAGAATGCCGTGTAACAGCACACACGACTAACAATACAACATTAAATACCGCGTTAAGGTTGTGGTAACAATCCTTTGACTAAGGTAATGACGCATCTTTTGTGAGATAGGTCAGCTTCTGTTTCATGGAACGTGCATATAATATAAAGCGCCTTTGCCCATGGAAATCATGTTTTCCGTGTGGGACTTGAAATCTTTGTGTACCGCAAAGGCCACGTCGACCCATGTCTTCATTATCGTTAAATTATTGATCTTGATTGTTAGAGGCATGTCTATTGTACTGTTCAAATACGAGAGAACCCTTCGGAGTTTCCCCCAATCTTCTATAGAGGCCTTTTGTACCCGTCCTGTCAGAAACGCAATTGGGACCATGATATCTGGTCTGCATTGCTTCATGACCCACAGTAGTTTCTGCACGAGGGAATGCAAAAGCTTCTGCTTGGGCTCAGGAAGCCTTTCTGCATCGGGGTCCATGTGAAATACCTTCTTGCTTGCTGGGTTTGCCGCAGAGCGCCCTAAGTCTTTGCCAAAATCTTCGATGCGTTCAGTTGGACTTCGGTTCTGGCGGACATCAGACAAGTGACAGGCTTGTCCTCATCCAAACTGATAGACAACTTTGTGGCCCATCAAGCCATCATTGCCAACCAGCCATGCCAACATGTGACCAATCAAGTCGTCATGCGGAGGCACTGACCATAGCAATCTCCGATCCATCTAATACAAAATAATCATCTCTACAGGAAATAACTATTCTAAAAGACTTGTTATCTACATGGAATGTGCAAAGCAAAAGCCTTGCACAAAAACTCAAATTTCCCAAACCTTTACTAAATGTTTGCAATCCAGAAAGGCCCGTACAAAACCCACGTACAGAATTCCCGCAGGATTCAGTATGGGATTTTCGAGGCACTCAGACGTTTGATGGTCCAAGCGCACAATTCCATGTTTTCGGATTCCCTGCAAAACCGACTCATAGGAATCAATCCCCCAAATAAACGGACCAAACAGACATTTGTCCGTCTGTCCGATCGGACATGTCAAACTGCATCTATCAAGGAGTTTCCAATGAATGGTCTCCAAGAGAGCAATTTCAACACGCTCCTAACTCTGAAGATCAGAGTAGGAGAGACGTCCAAATGCGTGATGTTCAGCTGGAACATCACATGAGCTGCACCCTTGCGCACACCCATGTTGCTAAAGGACAGGCACATCAAATGGTGGACTGGTGCGTGTTTGTGTGCAGTCAGTGATCTTGGATGGGGCATGGAGGCTGAGGTGCCACTGAAGATCACTTGTGATCAAAGGGGAGGGACGATTTGTGGCATGGCCCTCCTGAGTTTCCACATGAAACTTCCAGTTGTGACGCCAAATGTCCAGGCCCCAGCACACTTGAAAAACAAAAGGATGATTGTAGCTTGATGGAGGGTGTTAGAATAAAGCAAAATGTGCTCTATCGTGAGTGCCTTTAGCGCTCAGAACAAACTCTCTGCAATCTAAATTTGCAATCGACTGTACAACACTTTCACGACAATAGTTCTCCTGTGTCTAGGTATACTTTGAGTGTAATTGTTCCTATTTGATTAATATTTGGCTTGAATTGATGATTCAATCACAAAAGTAATTTCAACGATTTTCCCTTGGAAAATCCCTTGTTTACAGAACTTGATTTGACTTCTACGACAATTCTGTGTTGAATGCAGTACTTTGGGACATCTTGTATTATTCCCTACTGCATTGTACACAACACCGATATCTCACTTGTATAGGGTCATTCCCTTTTTGTGTGGATGTAGATTGTCCAACAGACTTGCGTCCGGCATACTTGCGGAATCCCGACATCACGATCAAAGTCCAATCGTACGTGTCAAAAACTTCGTACTTGAATAGTTTCTTTTTGGAACATAAAAACTCATATTTTGTCATATCCCAACACACTCCTGCCATTGTGACAATCACCATTGGCAGCAATGGGACATGTTCTCATTCAGAAAAGTTCTGCAAATTTCGGGCATTGATCCAAGGGGATCAGGAAGATTAGATATAACCGTTGTTGGTTATATATACACGTTACATATTGAATGAAGAAAGGGTTTGTTATTGCAACTGAAGTCGTCAAAATGACAGGAGTGTGTTGGTGAAATAGGATCCTAATGGATAAAAGAACAGTCGAACATGTTGGACAGTAAAGACGGACATTTGTGGTATCAAACGCGGACGGGATCTGTGACTAGTTTGTGAAGAACATATGCGGATGTGCTTTATACACCGCGACAGCTGGTGAGAGCTGACGCAGGTGGCTTCCGGAAGAGATTTTTTGTACCTGCTGTGGAGATCATTGTTGATTGACTTCTGGCAAGAATAGCAGTAGAATAAGATCTAATAGGAAGTGGTGAGACTGTTCATCCGCAGGTAGAAGCCCAGCATCACTGGCACCTGTTCCTATTGTAGGCAATCCATAGCCAACGTAGATTTGAGCTCAGTATACTCCAGAGGTAGCTAGAGCGTTGAGGCTCTCATTACAGGTACAGAGTTGATTATCTGACATATCAGACTTGGCAGGAGTAGCGTTCCAAGCCTTCACACAAGAAAGCAAGGACATTATGGCTGTACACCTAGAGACAGGAGCAGCAGCAACTTGTCTTGAATGCCCGGCCTACGCGAATGAGCAGAGAAAGAAGAGAAGCGCATCAAGCAACTTGTGGGAATTGCAAAAAGCGCAGGACAAGTCAGGCCAAACAGAAGCTAAGTCCAGGACTATGTGCACCACCAAGTCCAGGAGGAAGAGCTTTTGCAGGATTTTACCAACAAGAATTGTAAGGATTCCAAGACAATTGCTCCTTCCAAACTCCAACGATCGAGACCGCTGGAACCTTCCACACCGCATTGATGCCCACACCAAAGCAAAACGTTCGAGTCACTGACGGACAAGGAAGACAATTGTTGGTTCCAACACCCGACAGCAAACTATACTGCCCACAAGTTGCCCTAACAATGCTAGCATGCATGAGTGCTGCCAAAGAAGCACTCAACATCAAAGAAGAAAGTGACAACAAAACTGTTGGAGGCCAATTTCTGGCTGTATGGCTCTCCTACTGGGATGCCTCTAGTCTAAAAAAATAAAAGGACTTTTATTTGAATGTTAATTCCAGTATCTAATTGTTGTTACCTGGATTGAATGGGCATTGCAGCTCATGCAATCCAGTGGCTACTTCTATTTACCTATTTACTAGTTTTTCATGCGCGGGACCAAGCAACTCTGGTCTGGCAATCCCACCAGCAAAACCGCGAACGCGGTCTGCCCATGTCACCGTTGGTCTGGCCATTTTGGTCATATTCTCGCCGTCCGTACGTTGTCCGCCAGCTCCAAAAATACTACTTCCAACTCGCTCCTGAGATGTCGGGCAAGTAAAGGAGGGATCTTCCACGGGCGGTACTGGAGTCATGCCCATTACCATGTCGCAGAAGCGCTTGTACAAGCTGCCTTGTTGTGGCTTGGAGTAAAAGTCTGCCACTATGTCCGCCGTGGGACAATAGAGCAGGTGGATGTCGCCTCTCTTAATGCGATCCTTAATAAAGAAGAATCTGAGATGGATGTGTCGTGACCTTTTACTTGCAGACTGTCTACCATTCTTTTCCAAACGTATCGCACTTACATTATCTTGATAACAGTATCTCCTGCGCGTATGTATGCCCTGGTGTTTCAGGAAGTTCATAGTCCAGATAGTTTGTCCAAGACAGTCACTGGCGCCGACGGTTTCCGACTCCGTCATACTCGTTGTATTAAGCTTCTGCCATGTAACAGCACACACGACTAACAATAGGACATTTAATACCGCGTTAAGGTCGTGGTAACAATCCTTTTACTAAGGTAATGTACGCATCTTCTGTGGGATACGCCATTCTGATCAGAGCTTCTTCCAGAGAGAAAGAAAGTAGAGAAGGTCGCGACATCGACTCCAGAGCCGCAGGACAACAGGTGCAGAACGACTTGGTCTTATATTTGTCACACAACAGGTCCACGGCTGCTTAGTCAACAGGTCAACACCCCCTTTCCAATTTGATGGATCTCACAACCTCTTGCCTGGCCAGCAAACTGTAACCTATCATGAAGCATCATTGCTTTACAGCTCTCCTTCATAGGGGTAGAATGCCGTGTAACAGCACACACGACTAACAATACAACATTAAATACCGCGTTAAGGTTGTGGTAACAATCCTTTGACTAAGGTAATGACGCATCTTTTGTGAGATAGGTCAGCTTCTGTTTCATGGAACGTGCATATAATATAAAGCGCCTTTGCCCATGGAAATCATGTTTTCCGTGTGGGACTTGAAATCTTTGTGTACCGCAAAGGCCACGTCGACCCATGTCTTCATTATCGTTAAATTATTGATCTTGATTGTTAGAGGCATGTCTATTGTACTGTTCAAATACGAGAGAACCCTTCGGAGTTTCCCCCAATCTTCTATAGAGGCCTTTTGTACCCGTCCTGTCAGAAACGCAATTGGGACCATGATATCTGGTCTGCATTGCTTCATGACCCACAGTAGTTTCTGCACGAGGGAATGCAAAAGCTTCTGCTTGGGCTCAGGAAGCCTTTCTGCATTGGGGTCCATGTGAAATACCTTCTTGCTTGCTGGGTTTGCCGCAGAGCGCCCTAAGTCTTTGCCAAAATCTTCGATGCATTCAGTTGGACTTCAGTTCTGGCGGACATCAGACAAGTGACAGGCTTGTCCTCATCCAAACTGATAGACAACTTTGTGGCCCATCAAGCCATCATTGCCAACCAGCCATGCCAACATGTGACCCATCAAGTCGTCATGCGGAGGCACTGACCATTTATTTTTGTTTTGTATTTTCATTTTGAACATATACATACTTGTCTGACCTAGTCCTGTGGACCAAGAATCAGATCCCTGAACTTGCAAAACTTCTCACCTTGCAATGACTTAGTCATGAAATCCGCAATCATATCGTCAGATGGACAGTATTTGATCTTAACATTTCCTTTCTCAACTTGATCTGTGATAAAGAATTAACAAATATTGATAGCTCGGCTTCTTTTGCCCGCGCTCTTGCGACCATTCTCTTCCCGTAGAATTGTGCTTTTATTATCCTGATACAAGATATTTTTCTCAATCGGATACCCTTGCCACTCCATGAACAACTTCGTCCATAGTATCATCGTGACAACATCGTCAACAGCAATCAGCTCCGCTTCCGTACTGCTTCTGCTGTTTAGTTTTTGTTTCTTTGACATCACTTGAGCTGCACCTCCTCCAAAGGACAGAGTGCTGCCAGTATGGCTCTTGAAATCTGGATGCACCGCACATGATGCGTCGATCATCCATTTCATGACTCGTAGTGATTCTGGGGAAAGTGTCAGGTGATACAACAATGTACAAAACAAATATCGCATCATGCCAACACACTTCTTCCAATCAGAGGCAAGAATAGTAATCGTTGGATGGATATCCAAACGAGCTCTCTTAGAGACATAAAGTCCCCTTGCAACAGTAGTATGAAAGATCTGACGGTACTCAGCACTGAGTAACTTCCCTTTACCAGCTT